CTAGTCATCTCTTGGAAACAAAGATGGCAATCAGAGCTTTTCCGAGAAGACGAGGGCAGAAAGGCCAAAGGACTTGGAAAATGCTATAGGATCTTTGCACCAAAGAATACTCCAGACTTCAAGCTCAAACCCTACAACTACAACAAATACAGCAGAAGGAATCAGGTTGAATACTTCCAGGCAAGGACTGGTATTGGGAATACTCTGGCTTACCTCAAAAAATTTGGAAAATCAGAAAGTGATTGGTGTGACTACTGTGGGGAAGGAAGACAGACAGTGCCACATCTAATCCTTCATTGTAAAAAATTCAAGGTTGAAAGGAGAAAACATTTTGCACAAATAACACCACTTAAACTATCACTTCTTTTTGGGACACATGTTGGGAAAACAGCACTACTTTGCTTTCTAGATTCAACTTAATGCCTTAGGGCATGCAGAAGATGAAATGGAGTAAAACTAAAACTACTAGGGAAAAAGAAACAAAGAGAAACTTTTTAGATATATTTTGTATGTTAGAACTGTGTCATAGCTATATAGCTGAATACACTATGATTCAAAAAAAAAGCTGAGGTTAGTTTAATAGCAGCACGAATTCCTTGGAGGGCAGCGTGGGCTTGTGCATCTTTATTATATTTTTTGTTCTTTTTTTTTTTAATCATTGAATGTGTATTCAGCTATCTAGCTATGACACATGACCGGTGCTATGTAGACATGTTGGATGACTTTTTTGACGTTAGAGACACTCATACTATGGATTTCATTCGCAAATATCACTATGAGGTATGCTTGCTTACACAAACAGTCAACCCTCCTCCGCAAGTACCAACCAAAGGGACGTTTCGAAATCTTTGGTTATACAAGCATGCCTTCGTCGTCCATGCATACCAGCGCCGCGAGAAATATGGTTGTGTTTTGCCGGATTCGAACCAGCGATCTGCTGTCTCGAGTGGGATATGTGTCCAAGCTATCCAGACCTTACTCGGCAGACCGGCCAAGACGATGTACCACCGCACCATCCATCTATGGCAATGTTTATAGTGTCGCCATATATTTTTTGTTCATTAACATGCTAGGTTAAGTGACTACCATTGCACTCCTACTGGAGCTTAAGCACGAGTGGGGCCGGGCCAGATCAGGTTAACTACCGCGAAGTGTAGATAAACCTCGTCTCACTTAAATGACCGGACCACCTCAGACTTCACCTATGTGTTGAATCATATCAAGCCTGATCGTCCAGACCCGGTGTATACACGCCGTAGCGTAATTTCCTCCTCAGACTCTGCCACCACGCGCCCGAGCCCTTGACATCCTCATTGACTCCAAAATATAAATGCCGTCCAATATTTTATCATTGCTCTAGTCTTGCACCTTCATATTATACTGTTGGGTTGTTGTCATCATTGGGGATTTGTGTAATGCCCTCGGTGTATCTTCCCTTTTCTTCCTCCTTTCTATACGTCCTGTTTCTATCATGACTTTCCTCATTAGGGCGTGCGTAGGTAGGTGATGTGACGAGTTGGGAGGTGGGTCGGAGGTGTAGAATCGGCCGAGAAATGGATCGTGGCAAATATTTAAGGAGTTTGAGAGATGTCAGATATTTGAATACGACCCCCAAACAGACCCAAATCCATTATTATTGGAAATCTAGACTCAGCTTGTATGAAGGTTTAGATTTCTAGGTGTGATCATCAAGATCAATTGAGTTGATTCGATTATATGTGATTAAGCTCAGTTGGACTAAATACGATTCAGTGAAATCTGGAATGCAGTGGCTAGGAAATGCTACATTGCGATAATTGAGTGGCTGGTTGTTGCTAGATCACTAAAGCCTCGGGATCAGTATTTAATGAAAGGCTCATCTACGTATGTAAAGCTAAGTCAACGGAGTATTCTACATTAATAATTCATATTGAGAAGAGAGTTCGATATCACATACAACTATCAATAAATTCTTATCCAAAATTGTACACTTGTTCTTCGAAATATTGTCTCCTAGAAATCCTTGACAATTTGTAACAATTCTTGAATCGTGTGTTGATGGTGATGAGTTTTTAAACGACTTTGGTGCGGCCGTGAAATCCCTGCCGACTGATTTTTCGACCAAAATTTCAAGTGCAACTCCTTTAAGTCAAAAATCCATCAAATAAAATTCATCCCACCCTTTTTGGTGACTGAATCTCGGCTCTGGGAGAATATTTCACTCTCAAGTTCGTAGAGGACACCACTGACAGGTGTTCAGCCTTCGTCCTCCGCTCTCAAGTCCATTGTTGATTGCATTGCCAGTTCTCAGGGTTTCTGCCTTACTGTAACAGGGATTATTAAGGCTCCTATCTTCATGGTGGTACCCACCGATTTGAACTCTTGTCGATCAAGCATATGTTTTAGATAATGATTTCTTTATACGGGTAATAAAGTAGTACTGGGGGTAGAATTGATAAAGAATATGTTTGGTTCTTTTTGTATATCAACGTGCTGGGCAATTTGCCCACTCCGCACCCTATAAGAGCCTGAACACGGGTGGGGCCGGGCTGGATAAGGTTAACTACCAGTAAGTACATCTACCTCGTCCCACCTGAATGACTGGACCACCTCAGACTTCACCCATGTGTTGAATCGTGTCAAGCTCAACCGTCCAGAGAACCCCCTTTTGGCGCGCCGAAGCGCAAATTCCTCCTCAGCCTCGGCCACCACGCGCCCGAGGCCTTGACACCCTCGAGATCTGTAACTTTTCCCTTCCATTTAGTCCCAGCTTTGGCTCACCTCAGCATCTCCTCATCTCATCCAGGGGTCGTTTTCTTCATTGGAGGCCTCATCCAGTCGCTCACAAAGGCCTCCTCTGCTTGTGTTCTCATTTGTTCCTTCATGTAGCGATAAATCATAGGGTTAACAGAACGTGTAAATTACTCTGATCACACAGCATTTTAGACAGCTGCGACTATATTCCTACTAAGATGTATCTACCAGCCCCGCCTACACGCTAATATGAAACTACTAATATAAGGCTTATAAGATCAACAAACGCCTTACTCATGTTCCTCTTATGTAAACAGTAATCACAACCATAACTCCATTACGTTAAGGAACAGGGAGGATAATGTTTGACCAACACTCTCATAGTTTAATGATATCAAATATTTCTAATCCGGCAGTTCTTGCATACGCTGGCATTCATCTGGCTCATACAGGCCCAACGACTTTGACATTTATCTTTCGGTATATTCGGATACGCAGTATACAGGGAATATTTATCTCGTTGATTATGTGATATTTTATGGACATATTACGGGATTAATCCCTTGAGTTTGTACTGTCTGCGTCAATACGGTCGGGACGGAATATGGGGCCTAGCTAGCTACGGGGGCTATCATTCTGCTGTCTGGATGTGGTTGCTTAGCAACATGGATTGTTATGGTCGGCGCTGATAATTACAATTCCTTATGTATACAGCGAGAAGAAAAATTGGAGGGCAAGACTGAACACCTGTACGCGGTGTACTCTACGAACCTGGGAGTGAAATGTTCTCCCAGAGCCAAGTACAGTCAAATTTCGCAATATCAAAGAAGTTGGCCCACAAGGCAAAATTTAAAATTACTCCACCACGTCGTCATTCCGCTCCCAACGAGTTTGACGCCTACCTAAGTCTCATCAAGTCTACAAGTACGACCTAGTACAATCTCATCCCAATGATCACACCTCTCTTCGACCTTCTCTGGTCTCAGTTGGCCACTAAATACACGCCTATGCCGATATTTATACCCGACGGAGGAAGCAAAGAGTGACGCACAGATCTGGGAGACAGTTCTTTGGGATGGACGTGAGAGGGATCAGGACAAAATTACAAGATGATGCAAAGGAAGGATATAAACTTGAAGGGAGTGAAATTCCGAATTTTGGTAAGGAGTTATACGAAGTAAGCTTTGTGCGCGCCAAGACTTCGCTTGCGAGAGTGCAGCTGACACTATAAAAACAAGCAAACGATGGAAAGTTTTGTGGTCCGCCTCCTGGTGGTGTTCTCTGGTATGGTTTGAGTAGCCTGGGCACCTAATCCACTTGGGAAAGAAACACCTCAGATCACATATCGCGCGGAGAATAGTTGAAAGATGATGGAGGCATGTCTGGATAACTCAGGGTTTTTGAGACGTTCCCCTGGGTGGGTATTCACGGATGAGGGTTGACTTGGGGTGAAGAAAAAGCCACCATAACTTCGCAGTGGTACTTGCAAATGAAATCTGAGGCATGAGTGCTCTTCCTTTACGTTGAATCATCAATTCTGTACTTTTTTTTGATATTGTATCATAGCTAGATAGCTGCATACGCAATTAAAATCTGATGCAAAAAAAAAAAAGAGAAGAAAAATGATTTCACTTACAGATTTTACGAATTAAATGGAATTATTCTGGACTAGCTATGTTGTATTAACATCAATCAGGGATAGAATACGCTGCTTAACTTCACACAAAGTCACACTCCGATGTAGACAGGAAGTGTAGCTACGATTCTCCTTAAGATATCCCCATAACTTATCTAGATTTAATATCTACAGCCTGATTTGGAACCCTATGAGCTCATGCTTCAAAATGTCTTGTCAAGTAATTATGAGCTCAGAACCCTTGTTATGTCAAATCTATTGGATGAATCAAGTTTGAAGCCACAAAGGTTATAATATCTTTCAAACTAAGAGCACACCAAGTAGAGCTTGTTCTGCTACTTGTCGGACGTAAAATTGGACCTATTGATTGAGTAACTCCCAAGTTTGGAGCGAACACAAATGTCTAGTTTTTCTTGTCCTCTAAATCTGGCTCTATAATTGCGTGAAATTATGTGTAATGAAACCTAATTTCTAAATTCCTTTATCCATAGAACCACCTTAAATGTTGCCATGAGTCTTCAAAGAGCTCTTCGTTGTAAGTAGATGAACCTGTATTCCCATATTGGCTAGTGATAGAGCCATAAATCAGAAATATTATACGACAAATTTTATTTTCCAAGTGAAAAATCACTTACAACTCTAGCAGACATTCGGAAATAAATCTGATAGAGTCTTTAAGCATTCTGTCATCAAATATGTGTCCAACACCTGGATAAATGATTTCTTCTAAACGAAAATTCTTTTCGCTATACCATCCGCTGGCTGCATTTCTAAAGAACTTGAACATCGGTTCATTGCAATGATAGGGAACCAACTTGTCTTCACCACCCGAACAGACAAGAATCCGCTTCCCCTTGACTTTGGAGTCTAGTATGTAACTTAAAGAGGAGTGATGAACTTGATCAGGATTCACCATCACTTCAGCTGTTCCAAATATGATCCCCCTAGGGTCACATTGAAGAATAGTTTTGATTAATTCGGATGGGAAATCAGAGCTACCTAGAAAGTTTTGACCGGCAGTTTCTCGATGGGAAAGCTGGGCTCTATTACTCATAAGACCTTGACGAACAGATTAGTAACCAGAATGTGATATAGCCAAAATTAATCCTCAATATTTATCGATATCATAGTTTACTTTAGACTTTGCGATGATCTTAAATCAAAGCGGGAAATCGACGTTCATGCACTTGCGTTTCTTGACGCGAATTTAATCACAGCGCCCCTGAACTAATACTTTTGGATATATTATCCCTTCAAGTATATCTTGGTATTCCGCCGTATGAATTAGGTCATAGCCTTGAAGTCTTTAGTTTGAGAATCCTGAAATGACTTACTGATGTAGTCTGGACTACCGATAATGACTACGCCGGCAGTAATTCTTTTATCCCGAAAGAGAGCTTGCCATGCCGAGTGACCTCCTAAAGATACACCTAAAACTAAGTGATGATTAATTTTTGGTGCACCTTGTTGATTTAAGATGTAGGAGCCCAAGTGGTCTATCAAAAAGCTCACGTCAATGGCAGTTCCGTTAAGAATACTTTACTCTATTAGAGAAATTTAAAATGAATATAATCTGAATACCTGAACATATCCTACTATAATTAGTATACTTTGATGGTCATAAATCCAAGGAGTGAGAATACAATCGCGTGGTTCTTATTGCCCTTTTTCCAAGATTGGTTAGCTTCAGGTTTAACCTCTCTACTTCCGTGGTTTCTATGATCAAAAGAAACGGCAATTAATCCACGACGTTCTGATGATGGTCTCGAATTCCAATCTATCACACATGAAGAGGCTACACTGCCCATTGTATCCATGGTTTTGAGACGCGGATGTAGAAGCCAGAGACAAGATACAGATTTACAAGTATCATTAATCTCTTCAAGGCCATAGATTACTGCGATAATGCCAGCAATATGGCAAGTCTGCGAGCTGATTGTGGGGACCTGTTTTTCTGATTCATGAGGGAGAGAAATTTCCATTATTACGGATTTTCTAGTTAGCTTAGAGCAGCAGATGTTGGAGGAAGGAATTTAGGAGCTTTCGATATCTTGAATAAATGAAATCGATTGAGTATTGAAATGAATTAATTGAAGAAATTGACGATGCAACAGCTAGCGCATCTCTCAATTTCAATGTGGGGCCATAACGCATGTCACTCTGCGCTATCATCCGACGCACGACGTCACACCCTATCCCGCGCGCGGGCCGCAGACCACGAATGCATCTACACACGTATTGGTAAGTTTTGGCTTTAGATAAGGTTTTGTTTGTGACACTCTATAAGGTAGCTAATACTAACACTTGTCTGTACATCTTAGATTTACGTTTTGACTCGACGATGAGACCAGACGCAACTAATTCCACAACACTCTAATTCCTTGTTTATTCTTTCTAAATACGAACAGGAATATAAATATTTGTTCACAATGAATACAATAACAGCCCTACAACAAACGTAAATAGCTACCGATAGCATGAGCCAAGACTTATCTGATCCGTCTTCGAGGAGGAGGAGTGGAAAAATAATTCCAAGGCAGATGGCTTTAACTCCTAGGTCCGATGGATTAATCTCGCCCAAGTCTAAAAATATTAACTACGATTTATCAACATCAAGCTCAAATAGAGACCAATCGAATGGGTTTCCATCAAAGTTGAGAGCTCAACTTGAATCCGAGCGGGACTTGGAACCAAACAATATTTCTCAATTGTCAACTAATTCACTTCATGACCACACCAATGAGTTACGCGCTGAAGCGCCAGATTATATTAATGGAGGTCAACCTCATAGCTTAATCTCGCCTAGTACCAAAAAAAGAGTGGACGACGAGATGAACCTAAACCGACAGGCGGAATCAAAAAAGTCACATCCTTCTATATTTGAAGAATCTGCCGGAATATCAACACCACCTGATCGGAGAAGTGTTCAGTTTGCACGATCAGAGCAAATACTGGAGCAAATAGGGCATAGCCGTAACAATTCCTGGGAAGATGGTGAATCATCAAGTAAAGATCGCAAGAGATTGTCTTTAATTTCGAGATTAAAATCTATAACTTCTTCTGGAAACCTTCAAGGTCATACACAGCAAAATAGTATCTCAGGTCCAATCGAAGAAAACAGTGTCATCTCCTCTCGCTCACCCGGATTTGATCGATTTTCGAGGTTATCCCAGAATTTGAGAGAAGATAGTGACGCTGATGCCGACGCAGAAGAGACCGCAGACGAAGATAACACTGCGAGTGCTACTAGGGCTAGGAAAAAGAGACGTTTCAGGAGGACAAACTATGAAAGTATACATGGAAGTCACACAGCGCCAACGACCCCAGGTTTCAACATAGTGAAAAATAGTAAAACTCCGAGAAGTGATAGTCTAGCAACTTCAAATTTTAGCCCAACTGCAATTGATGGATCACTTGAACACCGTGGACATTTCTCCGAGGGTGAAGGACAAGATTGTTTGAATAACAGGAGTGCGTGGAGGCGTGGTAGCCAGTGGATCACAAACGGTCGTAATTGTGGGCCATCACTCGGCTCAGAATCACAGCAAACAGATTATGGAGCTTCTCATCGGCGGCCCAGCAATTTTAGACGTGCTTTCAATGGATTAGGAGGGGGACAAAGTGAAGGCGAAACTTCAGTCCCAAAAAGGCCTTTCCTTGCAACAGATCGTGCTACGACATTTGGTGCCCAAAGATGGCGCATTATCAGACAGGGCCTTAAGATATTGGGCCAGAAAAAAGAAGAGCACAAGGTGGACTATCTCAAATCAGCGGAGCTAATGGCCGAATTACGTGCAGGTGCTCCAGCTGCACTTATACTTGCTAGTATGGTCCAAAGAGATGAGCATGGGAATAAGCGAATCCCTGTGCTATTAGAGCAGTTAAAACTACAGGTTACAGATAGTAGGGCAAGTGTTGAGGAGATTTCTGATTCTGAACGTCATCTTGTGTTCCAAATAGCACTTGAATACGGAAGTGGGATAAATCGCATGAAATGGATCATTCATAGATCACTTCGAGATTTTGCGAATCTGCATTTAAGGTATAAACTCCAAGCTGGAAGTGATAAGTACATTCAACTGCGAAGTGATGTTGATTCGAGACCGAAACAGCCAAGATTTCCTAGATCAGCATTCCCTTACTTTAGAGGAGTTCGTGGCTTAGGTGACAGTGACGATGACGATGCTGAGCCAATTCGTGGAGATGACATGACTGGTGAAGGTATACTCAGCGAAACGGAGCGTAGAGATAGAAAAAAGAGCCGACCATCAGTTTTGAGTGCCCGGAGAAAATCTAGTGCAATTCTATTTGAATCCTACGGTATTATCAATGGTGCACAACAAATGAAGGTCTATAATGAGAGACAGCGTCGGAGATTGGAACAATATTTGCAAGAGATGATTCGATGGCTCATTTTTAGAGCTGATAGCAATAGGTTGTGCCGTTTTTTGGAGCTATCTGCGTTGGGAGTTCGTTTGGCCGCCGAAGGCAGCTATCACGGCAAAGAAGGATACCTTGTTATCCAGTCTTCGAAGGGAATAAATATGAGACGGTTCTTTATTCCAAGCAAGGTCTTCTCCCGACACACCCCCAAATGGTTCCTAGTGAGACATAGCTATATTGTCTGCGTGGACTCTCCGGAAAATATGCAGATTTGCGATGTGTATCTTGTGGATCCGAAGTTTGAGGTTCTCCAAAAACGAAGGAAGCTCACAGGTCTCAAAGGTCAATGTGCTGTTGAAATAGCTGAAGCTGGAACTACGCACCCCCAACATCATACCCTAAAATTCTTCAACTCTGAAAGAAAAGTCAAACTCTTAGCAAAGAATGAGCGTCAATTAAGACAGTTTGAAGAATCAATTGATCATATGTTGAACACGACTCTCTGGTCAAAACCCAATCGGTTTGGTAGTTATGCTCCAGTACGAACCGGGATATTCGCCCAGTGGCTAGTCGATGGTAGGGATTACATGTGGAATGTATCTCGTGCTATCAGTATGGCCAAAGATGTAATCTATATTCATGATTGGTGGCTTAGTCCGCAGCTCTATATGAGAAGACCTGCAGCAATCAGCCAAAAGTGGCGTCTTGATAGACTTTTGCAAAGAAAGGCTCGAGAAGGTGTTAAAATATTTATTATTATCTATCGGAACGTTGAAGCGGCCATTCCAATCGATTCTGAATTCACCAAGTTTTCTATGCTAGATCTGCACCCGAATATTTTTGTCCAACGGTCACCTAATCAATTCAAAAAAAATCAATTCTTCTATGCCCACCACGAGAAAATATGCATCGTAGATCACATAGTTGCCTTTGTCGGTGGAATTGATCTTTGTTTTGGACGCTGGGACACCCCTCAACATTCAGTTGTTGACGATAAGCCAACTGGATTTGAACAATCTGATCTCCCTAAAGACGCTGATCACTGTCAACTATGGCCAGGCAAAGATTATTCAAACCCTCGAGTTCAGGATTTCTTTCAGCTCAATGAGCCATATGCCGAAATGTACGACCGCTCAAAGACCCCCAGAATGCCGTGGCATGATATATCTATGCAGGTCGTGGGCCAGCCTGCAAGAGATCTCACACGTCATTTCGTCCAAAGGTGGAATTATGTTCTTCGCGGACGTAAACCCACTAGACCGACTCCTTTTCTTCTACCACCGCCTGATTATGACCCTGCGGAGCTTAGGAATCTTGGTTTAACAGGAACATGTGAAGTACAAATCTTACGCTCTGCCTCAGACTGGTCTCTTGGCTTAACCGAAACAGAACATAGCATTATGACGGCATATTGCAAGATGATTGAAGAGTCTGAACATTATGTATACATGGAAAATCAATTTTTCATCAGTAGCTGTGAAACAATGAATGTTAAGATCGTCAACAAAATTGGAGACGCTATCGTAGAGCGTGCAATAAGAGCCCACCAGAATAATGAGAGTTGGAGGTGTATGGTACTTATCCCTCTAATGCCTGGTTTCCAGAATACAGTAGACGAGCCCGAAGGAACTAGTGTCAGACTTATCATGCAATGTCAGTTCAGAAGCATATGTCGTGGTGAAGGCTCCATATTCGGCCGACTCCGAAATCAAGGTATCCATCCACAAGACTTTGTACAATTTTACAGCCTTAGGTCATGGGGTCGTATTGGCCCAAAAAAGATGCTTGTAACTGAACAATTGTATATCCACGCAAAAGCTATTATTGTCGACGATCGAGTTGCTCTAATAGGTTCAGCGAATATTAATGAGCGGTCCATGCTAGGAGTCAGAGATTCTGAATGTGCAGCAATTGTTAGAGATACGGATATGATATGGTCTACTATGGACGGCCAGCCATACCTAGTCGGTCGATTCGCTCATTCCTTACGTATGCGCTTAATGAGAGAGCATTTGGGCCTAGACGTTGATGACGTAATGGAAGACGAAATCCATGCTGGAATGAACGATGATGAGTTTAAGATGAGAATGGATGCCATTCATGATACGCCTGAGAAAAGATGTGAAGAAGAATGTCAAAGTAAATCTCGTGAATTATCAGAGAATTCAAACAGTCAAATCGGCTCAAATCACACACATGCACCGGGCTGTGAAGGACAGATACAAAGTAACAAAAACTCACCAAAAATATCTAGCTGTACGGCCCTGAATAGTTCGAATAGCGAAACAAAAAAAAAAGATGCAAAGACTTCAACTGGTATCGATCGTAACTTGATTATTGATGGCAAAAGCAAATCATGTTCACCTGAGCCTGCGACAAAAAGCAGGGAGAACCTTCAGCAACCTAGAAAAACATATCAAAAAGTCAACCAAAGCCAGTCTACCCTCAGCGATAAATCGGATTCTGGTCACGGAGAAATACCACCACTACCTGAAGCTTCAAAGCGCATACTGATGCAAATGAGTTCTACTCAGTTCTCTCCATCGCAAGGGCCCCAAAGAATGGATGATTCTGACATTGGTGGACTTCCTTCACATTTAAATTCATCCAGTCAGCCTTCGATTGAAAACACAAATCCTTTGACGGCTGACATAAAGCCTGCTGTTGTCAGTAAGGATTGCATGCGTGACCCTTTGAACGACAACTTCTTTGAGGATACCTGGTGTCGAATCGCAGATAACAACACCAAAATTTTCCGACGAGTTTTTAGGTGCAATCCCGATAGCGAGGTTCAAGCGTGGAGTGAATACCGACAATTTGTAGCATATGGAGTAAGATTCTCTAAAGAACAATCAGATGAAGCCAAGACGAATGAAGCTGATGTGCCAAATACTAATGTGAAAAACAGACCGTCCAGCGGGGCTAGCTCGCCTGTTGCCCAAGAAGTCTTAAGGAATATATCTGAGAAAATTATGCACGAGGTAAATCTTGGTGATCCTGCAAGAGATAGTGTAAATTCTTTCGATAAGCCGAACCATGAGGGTACTTGCCGAAGCGATATACAACACTGGAGCTCCCGAGTCGACGCTGATGATCCAAATGATGTTACAAAAGCATCAAATGAAGGATCTTCAGCTTTAGATCAGCAGCCTACGAATGAGACTTTCCCTCCTCTCGAAAATACGGCCTGTGAGCCTAATCATGATACTGAAAAACCCATCCCTACGGCGACTCGCAAAATAACGCATACGCCTACAATTGCTACAGAGCGAAATTTCACAGGCTCTGTAAGGACTAGCAAGCGCCGCCGCCGGACGACAAAGGGAAGTCGGAAGACTTTCTCAGCCAGTGAAGAACTCATGAGCGTTGCAGATTGTGAAGAGCTTTTGAGTCTAGTGCAGGGGACCCTGGTTAATTTTCCGTATGACTGGCTCGTTAAGGAAGAACTAAATTCAAATTGGCTTTACCAAGTGGATCAAGTAGCGCCTCTACAGATTTAGTGAGTAAAAGTATCAAGTTGCCATGAAGAAAAAAATTCTAATTTATTATCAGTGATTAATATCCGTTATTCGAATTTTTGGATACGTTGTGCACATTTGGGGTAGATAATAGGGATAGAGGTGGATGGAAATTCGCAAGTAATAATAAGAGTAGCCGTGATGATTCATCATTTGTAGTGTCTGAATCCTGGCGCCATAATAGCGTACTATTGAACTATGCTAGAATATTTAAGATTCACTCAAGATACATTTAATGCCAGTTAAACACGCTCACTTACCCATATCGCACCCCTGCATCCTGCTCGGATTATTCCGTTAAGCAACCCGTGAGATGATGCTTCTTTGGCATCATTTTCAACAGCATGATCTAAATGTTCTAATTCTTCGTCTCTAGTCCGCCGAATAGTACGTATCAGCTCCTCTAAGTCTGGACCTAAATCTTTTCCATCTTCCTTCATTTTGGTAGACATTTCAAGTAATTTTCGAACCTGGGAGTTATAATGACTCCCAATTTCTGTCTCGATAGCCTCGGTGCATGCCATTGCTGCTTCACGTCCCATCATCGCGGTACCCCATCCTAGAACAGATGCTGCTATCGTCCATACCGGATACATGGCTGTGGGACGAACACGGTGTCTTGCGATAAGCTGATTGAATTTATGAAGATGTCCAGCTTCTTGATCATACATGTGCTGCATGAGTGATCTAAGACTCGGGTGTGCAGCGACTAATGGTGGTATTTGACTCTTGTAAATTAGCGTAGCAGCAAGTTCGCCTGCTTGGTTCACACGCAGCTAAAAGCTGATGATCAGCAGATTAACTGAGTTGGAGAAATAAACACTCACGGCCCTGGAGAGAAATTCTCTGTAGTCTTGACTAAGTGGTTTACGGGACGATACTTTATAAGTAACATTTTGTTTACCCATTTCCGCATTCATTTTTGACATATGAGTTGTGAAAAGGCATCTTTGGATTTGAATAAATGATGCAGAACTACAGAGGCAGACTTTTCCACGCCTGAGAGTGTCTGATGAGTTTTTATAGCGGGCGTAGGAGAGGATTTTGAGCATCACGACGGGTATCTCATCTTGTATATTGTTGCTTGCGGATAGTTAACAGTCTACATGCTTCCTTATCCGGAAAATATAATATCCGAGATATCATTGATTGGAGGTGGCAACCTCACGCCAGCTAACGTCTCGACATCCGTTTGATCATTTCCTATTTTGATACCTCAAAAATATCCCTTAATCTGTCATTCAGGAAGAAAATTAACGTGAAATTCTTTTTTTTGCAGCGCTTCAATTTTGAGTTTAATCGTTAAAGATGTCCGACGTAGACGATGACTTACTGCTATTCGCTGGCGAGGCCTCACAAGATGAGGATGAAACACCAGAAAAAACATCACACGAAAACTTGGGCATATCTGATTTGAAGACATCGGGTAAGGCGAGCAAGAAGAATAAGGGAACAAATAGACGTCACAATGACTCAGAAGAAGAGGGTGAAGCGTGATTATAACCTCAATCAACTTCACCATAATTGAAACTAAAATAATTAGATCGTCTGGCCAATCGGCTCCAAACTCACCACACTCCAGATCTATAGATCACTCAGATTCGGATTCGGATGTTGCACCAGACTTTGCAGAAGATGTTGATAAATATCCTATCGATGGCAAATTCATAGACTCTGCAGATAAATCCAATATTATGAATATGCCAGAAATCGAGCGAGAACAGATTCTTGCCGATCGTGCAACCGAAGTTGAAAGAGAGCGACAATCTCGTCTTATGAAACAAATTCTCAAATCCCGAGAGGCAGACATGAGAAAGAGTGATAAAAAACGGAAAAACTCAGTCTCCGAGATGGAAGGTGATCAGCGAAAAGGATCCCGCCAACGAACGAAACTTGGAGGAGTCAAAGTTGGAGAAACAAGCTCTGGTATCGACAACTTGAAACGTGCGAGGGCGGAGAAAACAGACCGTCAACGTAGACGTGACGAAGATAAAGACCGAAGTAGGGACTGGCGTCCAAATAATAGCTATGAAAATGAAGCAGACGGGGAAAGTGAAGTAGAGTGGGCCGATGGAAACTCCAAAAACAAGAGGTCTACTCCTCCAGATAGGAAAGATACTGAGCCTGCAGGTCTACACGATATTGAGCGAGTCCGGGTTGGGAGGTCAAGATTCGCTCTAGTATGCTTCTATCCAGGATTCGAGCAAGCCATAACAGGATGTTTTGTAAGGATTAGTATCGGAATAGACAAAGCTACTAGGCAAAATATATATCGAATGGCGCTCATAAAAGGTTTGTATAACTTTTTGTGCTTCGAGCTTTCTAACAGAGACTAGGCTTCGTAGAGGATAGACCGTACGCAATGGAAACTCCGAATGGAAAGCATTTTAAAACAACACAATACATACGCGCCGCTCATGGGACAGCTGAGCGAAACTGGCCGTTTATTACCTGTTCTGATTCTGCCTTTACAGAGGTATGTATCCCCGTAAAAATTCAAGCTAGGTCATCTAACGCTCATGAGGGCGAGTGGTCTCGGTATGAAAAGGCGTGTAAAGCTGAAAATGTCGCCCTGCCTACGAAAGCTAGACTTTCGGCAAAAATTGATGACATCAATAACCTTGTTAATCGCTCCTGGACAGAAGCTGAGCTTCAGGAGAAACTTACAAAATCAGGAGCTCTAGTCAACAAGTACATACCTATTGAGCGAAATCGGTTGAATAATTTAATTAAAGAAGCTAAAGCCTGTGATGACGAGCAAAAGGTAGCCAAATTCCAGAGAGAACTCGAAGAATTGGATGGCCCAAAATTAGCCTACAGTACATCTATGAGGCCATCCCCCAAAAAATCTGGCTCTTCAGGTCTAAGTGAACAAGAACGTCTCGCAATTCTTAACCGTGAGAACCGAAGAAAGAATGCCGAGCAAGTACGTCAAGCGCAGATTAATGAGCGTCGTGCTGCTAAAAAGGCTGAGGCTGCCATCGCTCGAGGCGAAAATATTACTGAAGATCATTCCAGGCGTGTGAAAACACGAGCAAAGTTAAAGCACGATATTGCAGATAGCCACAGTTATCGAAGGGCGGAAGGTACGGAAGCAATTTCTGCAGAATCTTCGGTCCTCTCCTCGGAGCAGGAAGTCGGTCTTAAATCATATTTGACAAATCTCGCTGCAGAAAGTAAACCAGGAATGGCTTCGATTAGGAGGCCTTTAATGGATGACGATATAATTGGTGCTATTGACCTAGGTATTGATCTTGAGCTGTAGAGTGTGTAGGCCTATCCCTGAGACCTGAATCACTACGCTCTGATTGCAATGCGTGCTGAAGTGGATTTCATCCAATTGAGACTATTTCCATGGAATTCCTCACCCACATTTGAAAGGTGAGATAAATATCTTCTCGTTTGACAGGTCTTCCTCGAAATTGATTATTTCCATTTAATTCTAAATTACTTATTTAAGCAACTTCGGCAAAAAATCCTATCGGACAGGGTCTTACAATTTTCTAACAGTAATTCGAAGTCAATTCTCGAAACTAAATCTTATCTTTGTGATCAGAAGACTCTAGATTAGCGACAATCGGAATTCTGAGGAACCAAGGTGAATTAAATATTGTGAGCAGTCATCACACATGGTTGAAAGGTTTAATGTGATAATTAAGTTTTATGGTTTATCTAGGTTTAAGAATTACTATGATAGGAAGTCTGTGTAGATTCAACAAATTCTGCCAGGTAGAGCCAAACACTTTGAGACTTTCCTGTGCTTCATAAGTGAAGCACTATAATTAAACTTATGTATTGGGTTCTCAAACTTTCACCAAAATTTGGTACAAAATCACTAATAGTCTGACTATGTATTTAACTCGACTAGGACGAATTTGTCAATTACAGTCTCAAAGGCTCTCCATTTCGAAACTTGCTTCATCAGACATGTGGTGAATATTCTACCTCTATTTGCCCCACTTGGCATTAATTTACAGTAAATACTCGGCTCATATGATACGGCAACTTCAAGTGTTGATGGAAGTACTCAACAGCTTACAATATTTCCAACTAAAACTAGAAGATCAAAATGATTTGTTTTTATGGCTCATTTATTTCTACTAGTGCATTATTAGAAGCCCTCGTTTTATTTTTTAATCTCTTCTCGCACATATTTGCGTAGTGATGGCACACTGATCGGTCACTCAAAGCCTCAGCGGAAACTGAGAAGGTACAGCTGACCTCATCAAAAAGCTTATTCTCAAATTCACATGTGTGACGGGATAATCTTTACAATAAAGGATCATAACGATGTGAAAGCGGAGACACTAAAAGGAACGACATGCACATGGTAATAATTTTTAAAATCCTTGGTCAAATCCTCTAAAGAGTCAAGGGTAGAAATCACTTTATCCAATCATCTTTACCACACCAACATACATAGAACGACTTTAGGCCCTAAAGCCACTGAAAAAATCCAATTATAAAAAAGAAAATTTGTATGTTCCTGTGTGTTAAGCCTAGCGCAATATTAGGAGAGCTGAGTATTTCTCAGAAGCTGGCTTGGCAAAGAGCGTAATTAGACAAATGACTCGATAAGAACCCTGAATACGGCAATATTTGCTTATACAAACTGATGAATGAAACAGTGCAAAAATCTAAAGCAAGCTGGGTGAGAATAGGATTGTCAAGTTTTTAATCATAATAATGCGAATATTGAGCACGTCAAGATATGAAAGTCATGATCCATAGTATTCCATACTACGTCACTTTACTATGTTTAACCAAAACAAAGATGCTCTCATTGAGAGTGCAGAAAATTATTGATAAAGGCTTAAACTGTCGGAGCTCTATCAACCTTGGCGTAATCTCGAGATTTGACACTATTACTGCCGGACCCGATACCTGCCAGTGATATAGGCAGTATTAATTCAGGGAATATGCCAGAGCTCACGGTCTTGCGTAAAGAGTTCCGCACAAATCCTTAATTGACACCGCTTGTATGAGCTGAAAGATACATAATGTGCACAAGAAATTTCAAATGACAGTCCGAGTATCTACATACTTTCTTCCAACAAGTTTCTGTATACATCACAGATGTTTTAGGGCTGCAGAGGAAGCTTGCTATTTAGCTGAAGTTTGAATATTTCTCTGGGAAGGCTAGCTACACGTTTTAAATTTTTTTAGTTGATATATAACCTATGCTAAGTAGCCCTTATCAGAGAATTTTTATCTTAAAAAACGATGTCTCCTAAGCTATGAGGGTCTAGAGCGGAATTTTTCAAACGTTTATCAGTTTTTCATTCAAAATAGTGCCAAATAATTTCACAACACTTAGGCCTTGTTTTGGCCTACTAAGTCTAAATAAACTACCATCAGTGTCAATAATTTAAAAAGGCCTAGATTATACCAGATGGGCCAAAACCACTCTAACATTCATCCTGAACTATCAAAAGACGTCAAAAATGCTCTCCCAATAAGACTTTGGTTTTCAACACGGTACGGAAGAAATTTAGCTACATGAAGGGGAAACCTATCCATCACCTAGAACAGTAGTCTATTCATATGAGCCCTGGCAATTGTCGGCCAAGGATTTGAAGTTTGTAGTGCTAGCTAGTTTCGTTGCTAGATTACTTCGAGAAATTAGTCATACAAATCCACTGGCTTAAGTCTATCGCCCCTTCAAGGGAGCCTAGAGACCCAGGAGTTTCTGGCGTCAGATGTTTAGTTCTGCCGTGATAGAGGGACCGAACGCGACTCAGTTAACAAAAAAACGATCAGGGGACAATTCCTTCCCGCAAGCGCAGGTTAGAAGAGCTTCGGGGCGGTTTGTTTCCTTATTAACTTTATGGGTAAAATGACACCTATCGTACTCCTACTGGAGCTTAAGCACGTATTAGGACCGACGGTATTGGGCTAATATCTGTGATGTACAATTATGCTGCGACCTACCTAAATGACTGGAACCATACCGAAACTCATCCAGGCGTTTAATCATGAAGAACCCAGCAGCTCAGAAAAAAAAACTTAAACAATCTCCCTTCCATCGTTCTGCCTCAGCCACCACTTACCCGAGCCTTGATTCCAATCTCTGAATTTATGCCAAATCATCTGGGCTATCGATCTATGACCTCCTAGTCGCAGGTATCCACGCCATCCTACGACTTGCTACTGCGTATATTCCACTATCCTGGACGTACTCCCCGAACATCTGGCTTCCACTTTATTCGAGCAGGACTTTCAGTACCGGCGCCCTCAGCCTTCCGTTTTTTAGTAGCAATATCCAGTTCGAGCGGCTATGAAGCAAGTGAGGTCAGTCCTCGAGAGCGCTAGTTCTGGTGGCTTCTTGCGCATAATTTAGAGTTCGAAGTCGGCTTAGCATTTAGCGCAGTTTGAGTGCTATCAGCCCGTCAAAATTTGCTTTACCAGTTTGTGAGGCGAGAGTCATTCGATCATGTGTCAAAGTCAGAGGGTTTCGAAGCTCTTCGTTCAGAATTCCGAGGGGTCCAATAGGTCAATAGGCCAGCATATTGAGGTGTCCATAGATTGAGAGGCTAGGAGTTCAAGTGATCAATACGTGTTGTGGATATCAAGAGCATGACTTGGAGATATCTATGACAGGTACCTTGACAAGGGCGTCAAATCATCACGCATGACCAGTTTTGGGTAGAGTCATCTATGCTTTGGTTAAGCAGTCGGGTCAGGAATTCGCCACTAAAGAGCATCATATATACTTAGTACTGTATCATAGCTAGATAGCTACATACGCCATTAAAGTTTGATGCAAAAAAAAGAACCCAGTCTCTAGTAATATGTAGGCAATTGAAGATGAAACTGAGTCAAGGAGTCTCAGCTGACGACCAAGTAGCACTTGTGTAGTCATGTGCAGCGAAGGCTAGTACGAGAGACGTGAATATGATGGAGCTATATCTTCATGCATAGAAGGAAAGAAAGCAATCAATTATTTTTAGGATCAGTATTCATATCATTCTAGCATCATCAATCACACTATAATATTCTAATAATATGTAATTGTCGAAATGTTAGCTTTATAGTTGTATTTAGTGGGCTAGGTTACTGGCATATGCATCTGGGATGAATGAATGAAGGTTTCTTCGTGACAGGCACAAGCCCTGCCCTCAAAGAGCATGACATGGAGAAGGCGAGTCCTTGCCCGACGACTATATACGACAATTACTCAGTTTGACATTTGGACTACTCATGTAGTGGGTGCATTCGCTGATACCACTCGAGACCTTGATGCTAGGGACTCTCACCCTTCCCTCAACCGTTAATCTCCACCAAAGGGGAAACAGGAAAAAGCTTTGGCTACCCTAACATGCCTTTGCCATCTTGTATATAGCCGCCGCGCGAGATATGGCCTCACAGTCCTCCCTTTCTCGAGTGAGGTAGGTGTCCAGGCTAGCCACACTTTAAGTCGGGGAGATGACGACCAGGAGGCGGACCAAAACACCTTCCATCGTTGCCAGTTTTTAGAGTGTCGGTAGCACTATCCGAAATCGTTGCCTCTGCGCCCAGACACCCTTAAGTCAAAAATACTCGAAAAATGTGCGTCCCAGCATGCCCATTTGTGACCTCTTCACTCGTTCGTCCCACGTCCCAGCTGTCTGTCCTCCCTCAAGATGTGAAGCCCCATTAAAGCAACGGTCCCCCATAGATCAAGACCCGAGCTTTGTAGATTATGACTTGAATTTCTCCTCGCGGGTATACATAGCATCGTAAATGTGTAGTGGGAGATGGCCGGTTTTTGATGAGGCAAATGCCCGATTGAAATTGGAGTAACGCCATTATCGGTATTTGAGGCGAGGCGGTGTGGTAAGATTGAGCTGGAGGACTCGCGTGAGAAAGATAGGTCGCACATTAACGATGAGTCGTCGATTCTAGATGTGCTTGTGAGTGCTTCCGACTTCGATTTGGATGTTGTGACGGATACCGAGTTGGTGATGGATAAATCGATTTATTAAACTATATGAAGAGGAAAGAAATGTCTAGCCACTACTAACAGGTACTTATAACGTCTGGTCCTAGAGTGCAGCTGACACTATAAAAACAAGCCAACGATGGAAGGTGTCGTGGTCCGCCTCCTGGTGGTGTTCTCTGGTATGGTTTGAGTAGCCTGGGCACCTAATCCACTTGGGAAAGAAACACCTCAGATCACATATCGCGCGGAGAATAGTTGAAAGATGATGGAGGCATGTCTGGATAACTCAGGGTTTTTGAGACGTTCCCCTGGGTGGGTATTCACGGATGAGGGTTGACTTGGGG